TTCCCAGAGTAACCCTATGGAACAGAAAATTGTTTCCTAAATCACGGTCAGGAGTCTATATGAAATAATGATAAGGGTATATAGCATCTGGTAAAAAGGAGTCAAAGAAACAACATTTTTCTTTCACAGTTGAGAAGGATACTTTACTCTTTTTTTACCCAAAAATGTCCCTGGATAAAGGACACATGGATAATAATGGGGGACGGGGGGGTGGAAACAGGAGGGAGGGATGGGGGGTTGGGCTGGGGTGGGGGGAAAAGGCAGAAAACTGTACTTGAACAACAATGAAAAAAAGTCCCTGGAATGAAAAAGGAGGATTAATTACCATAATTTGAAAGGAGTGTATTGTAGATGTATCGCTAGATTAGTTAGCCTACTCTGACCAATACAGCAATTGGCATGAGTGAAAGGTTGTGGCCCTGGAACCTAAACTATGTGGTCATGTGGTCAGTAGCAGCCTGAAAGCTAGTTTCCTGTTATGAAGTGCTTTTGACAATTTCAAAGGCAGAATCCATGCTGCAACTGTAGTTCTAGGCAGGCAGACTGGAAAACAAATTGTCATCAGTGTACATTGGTTGTTATTGGTTGCATTTAGTGAGATGTTGGAAGAAGAGGATGAGTTCAGGTGAGATTTGGCTAATTTTAAAGCAAAAATCAAGGCGTTAGTGGGACTCATTCCTTCTAATGGCTGTGAGGGAAGGATCTGATCCAGGCTTCTCTCCTCGGCTTGGAGAACAAACGCATCTCTCTGTCTCCTATGTCACTTTCCTTCCGTGTATATCTCTGTGTCCAAATTCCCCTTTTTTAATGGGGCACTGGTCATACTAAATTAGGGCCCATTCTAATACCCTCACATTAACTTGACCACCTCTATAAAGACCCTATCTCCAAACAAGGTCGTGTTTTGAGGTAGTGGGGTTTAGGACTTTAACATGAATTCTAGGAGGATTCAGCATGGAACAGAGAGAAGAGATTTGGGGTACAAATCAATGGAATCAATGGCAGTCTGTGCCACGATGCCCAGATGAGGATAGGTCCCAGTTTACGCCTGAGTGATTGGCACAACCCAGCTACTCAGCTCTCCCCTGCTCAAGATTTATGGGAGTTCACAGGGATGAATCAGCTCCATTTCTCTGCAGTTTTCCTCATCAAGGCACCTCACCAGACCCATTAGCACAGGTTATATACGTGTGCATGTATTTTATTTACTTTGTTCCCAGGACTCCACACTACTGCTGCTAGTAGCTAAAAACCACAGTAAACTTTTACTATGGGCAAATTACATTCTAGGTGCTATGTTAAACACATCCTATGCATCATTCCATTTGAATGTCACAACTTTATTAGGTGTGTGGTAGTTTCATCCCCATCTCTAGTAGTAAAAACTGAGATACAGAGAATTCAGCCAAGGTTATGTGGTAAGTGGCAGAAGTAGAATTAGAACCCAGGTCTTTCTGTGCTCTTAAGTCTACCACACAGTTCCTCAAAAGTTTTCACTAATGTGGCAGCTATAGTTTATGACACAACCCCTTCAGTCAGAGCCTAAAATCACAGGCTAAATCAGGGAACACATGCTTTGCCTTCTCTTATAGTCCGAATTTTACATCTACATCTCTGTCGCTTACAAAAGCATTCAACCTAACATGATTATATAGATCTTAGCTTCAAAATATATTTCGAGTCGTTCCATTTGTATGTGGTCTCCACCGCCACCAGCCATCATCTAAGCCTCTGGAATTCCACAGTCTGTGGATGCCAGTGAGGTCATGTGAAGTGTAATGCCTGTAGTAGTTAGGATTAGTCTGGAATATCCTCCAAATTGGTTCTACTTTTACTCTTGCCCCCGAGATCTGGTTTTCCAAAGTAAATCTGTTTTCCTGAGTGTAACCATTTAAAAATGCAAACTAATTCAAAATGTTTGCCTAAGTCTCTGACATCATCTGTACCTCTCTTTTTATTTTCTAATCTTTAAAAATTTTTTTCAATTACAGTTACATTCAGTATTATTTTGTATTGGTTTCAGGTGTACAGCACAGTAGTTGGACAATCATATACTTTACAAGTGGCCCCCGATATTAACAGTACTCATCCCTACCTCTCTTGCCTTGCTCGCTACAGTTTGACAACATGGGCCATTTGGTTGTCTTGGATAAGGCAGGTTTTCTCCTGCTTCAGCACCTCTATATTCTACTAGCAACTCTCTTTCCCCAGATTATTTGCCTTAATGTCTTCTTCTCATCGTGTATGACTTTGTATAAATGCCACTTCTTGGCTAGGTACCCCTCAACCAATCTAAAGTATCTTTCTATTATCTGTCTCTCTTACATTACCCTGTTTCATTTCTTCAAGACACTTCTCAACAGCTAGCATTATCTTAATTGCTTATTTGTTCATTATCTGAGGACCACCCCTAGACACAACTACACAGTAAGTTAATGTTCTCTGCTTGCAGTCCTAAAGCCTAATACATAGTAGATGTTTAACCAATAATAGTTAAAAAATGAGTGACTGACTTTCCCAGGGCATGGTGCACAAAGCTCCTTCTTCTTTCCTCCTTCCACCTCAAACAAAACAAAACAAACAAACAAACAAACAATCAAATAAACTGAGAAAGGAGCACCAAATTAACAATTCCACAAAAGGCCAGCTCACATTCCAGTTTCAACTCAGCAAATATGCCCAGTGAGGTTTTCCTGAAATCTTATTATGCCTCTCCAACTGAGATCCCTGACCGACAGTGCCCACACAGCACTATACAGCAGCCTAGAGGTTTCGGAGGCTGCCCATTCTCAAGGCTGAGACTGTCCAGAACCCTGCTTTCTGGAACCTACTAACCTTTGGCCAGAAAATAGGAAACAAGCCACTAATAATGTTTCCCATGTGCCAGATTAGACTCATTTCAAGAACTTTACATATATGAGCTTACAATGACTCTGTAAATTCTGTGCTGTCATTATAACCAACTACAGATGTGGAACCAGAGACACAGAGAAGTGAAACAGCTCATCTAAAACATTACATAGTCATTTCCTGAGTTGGGATTTGAATTTAAGATGATTAGCTTTATGTTTATAATCATCATTAAGAGTAATACTTGGAAGGTGGGGACTAGAACACTAGCATCATTAGGCCTAGAAGTGACAGAAATATATTTGAAAACTTCTTGGATTACACACATAAGAACATCCTCTTATGAATCAAAAATATATTTGAAAACTTCTTGGATTACACACATAAGAACATCCTCTTATGAATCAAAAATCAAATGTCAAGCTCTTTTCTCTCAATTTGTGAACAATTTTATCTATATTTGTTAAAAGTTAAATTTAATTACAACCAAATTCCAAAGGGAGAAAATTTTTTTCTTGGTATCTAGTGTTGTTTGAAAGAGAAATCAGAACGTAATTCTTCATCCTCTGAAATGTCGTGCCCTGCTTGCTGCACCTCTTTGCTTTATTTAGTAGCTTGTGGTATAGCATTAGGTAAGTCGTATCACCTTACAATGCTTTCTTCTGGGCCAGTGAAGCACCCAGACAGAGACCTCGTGGTCTCAGACTCAGACCAGTGACTTTGCAACTACTACCTTGGTGACCTTGGACAAGGTTGACATTACTTCACCAAGATGATTTCCCCATCTTCACAGTTAATACCCAACACACAAGGCTGTAGTGAGGATTAGTAAGACAAAATATATATAAATCGTTCAACATATAGTTGATGCTTGATATTTTTGTTGTGACTATTAGAATATATAAAATTAATTTTGTCTTAGAAAACAGGCCCTGCCTTCAGCAGACTTATTAACAGACATAGATTAGGTAGTTTTTCAGATTCCTCATTTATTCAATATTACTTGGGGACCTCCCACGCACAACGTTAAAGTGTCTTAAGACAAGTATGTCTCAGTAGAACAACACATGTTGCACATACATACCTATATTAAGAACTAGAAAGTGATACATACTTTGAGAGACAGTCTTGAAAATTCAGAGGAAGGAGAAATTACTTTCACCTCCAAGAGGTGGGGCAGAGTGTAGAGAGAGGGCCTTTGATATTTTAAGGGATGCCACTGATGAGTAATTTTTCTCTGGGTAGACAACAGAATAAAATAACTATTTTCTCTTCTGTGGTATGTTTCATCACTTTGCACCACTTTTTAAAAATTAAATTGTTATTAGATTGTAATTCCTGTTTGTGTCCTTATTGTGCACTGCTGGGTGGCAGAGGCTGTCTTCCCACTGCTGAATTCTCCAGCACCCGGTTAAAGGAATTACTGTAATCACGAGAGAAATTACAGGAAAGCTGGTCGGGTTTTAGGGTTAGTCCAGCCTTGAGTGTGGCTCTAGAGTCTGACGGAGTTTAACGTCAGGATGTGCCTTAGCTAGAGAAAGTGACTTTTAGGATTGACAGACAGAAAACAGGACACCCAGCTAGATTTGTTTCAGAAAAAGATCTAGTACTTTTTTGGAATAAGTACGCCCCATGGAATCATTATGACACATTTATAACAAAATGTTATCTCTTGTTTATCAGAAATTTCTTATTTAACTGGGCACCCAGAAATTTTACTTGCTAAATATGACAAACCTAAGTGACTTCTCCCTCATCTGTTACTTGGAAATGGAGATGAAAACAGTACCTTCTTAAAATAATCTATACCATGAATCTCGCTCACAATAAACCCTAATTCCCCTTCCAAATCAGGAAACTTTAGTAAAAGATATATGTCACACCCCCGGGACAGTGGCCCTCGGTACACCCCAAATAATGGTTACCCTTACTAGATGGCTCTCCGAAGAGTGCGGAAAAAGTTCAGCAGCACTCTGAACAAAGTTGCAAACTGCTTTGAGTAATTCGCAAATTTGCCTCCAGAGTAATAATACAACGGTGTTTAACCACTGTCGCACCAAGCTGAGAAACCTTCTTACACTAATAGGGCTGATTGCCCTTCTGCGCATGCGCACAAGAACTCCATCGTCTCCGCCCCTTGGAGTCACGTGGGGAGGGAGGAGCGACTGGGTCGGGCCTCTGGACCCGAGATCCGAATTCGAGCAGGGATGGAGCCGGAAGAGGGGACTCCTTTGTGGCGGCTGCAGAAGCTTCCAGCTGAACTGGCCCTGCCGGTGAGGAGGGCGCGGGCGGCCGCAGCGTGGGGTCGGGTCTCCGGGACCGCTGGGCCTGCGAGTCGGGCCGGCGCGGACTGGACCCCTTTGCAGGGCCCTCCTCGCAGCCTGGGAAAGGGCGGGTAAGGGGCGTGACTTCGGGGTGGGGGGCGGACCGGCCCCTGCTTCTCCTCCACAGCTGTGGAAGCTGAGTTTTGGGGCGCCACCTCGGCGCCCCGGCATGGAGTTGCTCCTCAAGGGGCTTTAGGCGCAGACTCCACTGGGCCGCGCCGCACCCTGGTGGGGTGGGGCAGTCCGCTCCTTCGCTTTCGCCAGACCCAGTGACCCTGGGCTGGGGAGCCGGGCCGCCACGTAGTCTGTGCAGGCCTAGGCCTTTGGGCCGGTGGTTTGCAGCTTCTCACCTACCTCTCATTCATTCATTCATTCATTCATTCATTCAGCACTTAGCTCCCAAACGCCACCTAGGCGCTGGGCACAGTGCTGAGTGTTGGGATGCCGTGGTGGCCTACAGAGGCGTACCGTCCGCTCGAGGGAAACCGGAAAAAAAATAATGGGAAGTGCTTCCAGTAACCGGGCGCCTTAACTTGGCAGGGTGTTCCAAGGTGGCCTTTCCCACGAGGTGATATATTCACTTGGCACCGCCAGTCTAAGAACCTGGCTTGCCGAGGATCTGCAAAAAGCCCCATTCATTTGTTCAGCCAGCTTTTCGTTGGCGCCCACCGTGTGCTGAGTGCCCTGGTGGGATAAGGTGAAAAGGTGAATGAGGCGCAGCCTGTGCCCTGGTGGAGCTCGCGGTCTAGTGAGGGAACCAAGAATTATCCAGTAATGAGTTTGTGGGAGGGGTAGCGGCAGAGGTTTGAAGGATCAAGGGAAGGTTTTCAGAGCAGGAACACCTAGATTTGTTTCTAGGGTTAGTCCTGAGGGATGATGAGGAATCAGGCAGGTTAGAGGGGAGAGGATGTTTCAGACAGAGGAATTGGCAGCTACAGAGGCTAGAAGGATGCCACCTCCCACCCCCACCCTTGAAAATCTGCTGTCATTCTTAGAGGCAGCATTTCAGAGTGAGAAGCAGAGGAGGGAGAAGCTGGACACGTGAGCAGGAGCCGAGCCGCTGCGTGTAGCCTCACTACCAAAGGCACTTGCATTTCGAAGTATTGTTTTTGGTAGCAAAATTTTAGTGAGTTTAAAAGATGAAAGAAATGTGAAGACAGTAAGTACATATAAAGGTATCTTAACTGGAAACTGTGAAGGGAAGAAAAACCAATGGTTGCTATAATAGGAAAATCTGACTGAGGTGTTTTTTTTCCCCCTTGACGTTTCAAGCAAAAAAAAAAAAAAAAAAGAAGACCTTAATGCCCCAAGTATTTGACTTGATGGAAGTTTGCCAACCCATGAAAGAAAGCAATGTATGCATTATGGAGTTTGAGCATTTGTTTTGAGAGCTGTGACTCTGTTTGCACACTGAGTTCAGACTACGGACTGACACTGGGTATTGTAATTAGTATGATAACGTGTTCCTCAACAACTCAGGCCTTATGAAGTCTTCCTTGAACATGTCCTCTTGCCTCCGGTCTCTCTTATTCTGAACTCACTCAGGGTAGATACTTCTGTTATATCCCCAATTCTTCAGAGTTGTTTCTTGCTCAGGGTGGTTATTAAATCAGTGTTTGCTGAGGGAAGGAATCAATGAATGTACATAAAGTCAGCATTATCATTGGAGCAGTCCTCTGGATCCCAAGCTTTGGTAGACTGGCCTTCAGTGTCAATGACAGGCAGCTTTGCATAAGTCCCAGTTCTGTTCCATTCACTGTGGGTGAAGGGTGGGCATGGGCGCTTAGCCTACAAAATGTGATAGATAGCTTTGTGATAGGTAGCTTTTATAAGTTCCCAATTTTGGCCTGCCCTTTTCCTCTGTTCCATTTACAATGGGGAAAATCGTGGGGAAAGTGGATAAGAGGGAATTAACTTTCTTAATTTCTACCAGGATCAAGAAAAAACCACCTTAACTCCTTTCTCTGATTTTATAAATGAAGAAATTCATATAGTGCATGAGACATCTTTTGGAAGCTGGGTCACCAGTTGCCCATTTCCATTCTGATATGTGTAGTGTTAAAGAGAAGGCGTAGTTGCTTAAAAGGAAGTGGAATGTGACCCAGGGGGAAAGAGTTGAAAGACTTGCTGCTAAAATGCATTTCCAAGTCAATTGGGTTGAACTACTCTTCTTACAAGACAACTATCCCCTGAAAAAGTGTACCATGTTAATCATTTGCCTAGAATAGTGCAGTCATGGTAGGTACTCAGTTAATATATGTTAAAGGCATGGAACATAGTTCGAGGGGGAGGAAGAGGAGTAAACAGTGATAATTAATAGTAATAATAAGTAGAATGATAACAAAGGCTAGCAGTGTTTAAGTGCCTTGTATAAGCCCGCAATGTGCTGAGTGACTTGCATGTATTATTTAATCCTTACAACGGTATTAGAGGATATAGATATTATCCTCATTTTACGCATGGGGAAACAGAGGCATAGAACTTTTGCATAGTTTGACAAAACTAGTTAAGTAGTGGAACTAGGATTAAGGCTAGCCAGTTTCATTCTAAAATCCACCGTCTTAATTACTATGTTCAATTATATATGTTAGGATTTCCATTGCTGATATTAAGGTAGGATAGAGAAAAAGGAAAGTAAACAAAGGAAAAGAAAGATAATGAGGGCTTTCTTGGAATGGACCAAAAGAAGTGAGTATGAATGTTGTGATAAATGGAGGCGGGGGAGAATGACGTTTGTAATCTGCAGTACAGACTTTGTTACTGGTATAAATATGATGTCTTAAGCAATTCCAGGATGTATCTTTTACACTCACATCTTCCTTTTGGTAATTTTGAAAAGACAACAGTGTATCTATATAATTTTTTAGCTTCTAAACATGGAAAAAATGATAGACTTTTAAAAAACGTTAAAAAGTATTTTTTAATGTTTTTTAAAAAAGAACTTCACAAAAGTGAAGTTTTAACTTTTATTTAATAATAGCAAAGTTAGTTGCATTTATAATTAAATAAAAAATACTATTAATAAAAAGGGGGGTGGGCTGGGATGGGAGTAAAAAACAAAACTGTACTTGAACAATAATTAAATAAAAAATACTATTAATTACAAAAAATTAGTTGCATTTCAACTTTAGCTGCTCTTTCAGATAACATGAGCTTGTCCCCACAACACTTGTCTACTATAAGGGAGATACATCTGTTTTGTAGTTTTATTCATAATACATTTCTTTCTTTTTTTTCCCCTCCAGCTTCTTCACAAAATAGTTGATGGCATTTGTGGCCGAATTTACCCTCTCTACCAGGATTATCAGAGTGTGTGGGATTCCACAGAATGGATGCATGTTCTAGAAGATACTACCAAATTTTTCAAAGCTGTAGTTGGTAAAAATTTATCTGATGAAGAGGTAACTTCACTCTAAATTTCTATATGTTATAATAAGTAATTGGTATTCAGAGTTTTTATTAAATTGGTCACTAGGGCACTTACAATACAAGAGCCGTCATTAGTAAATATCTACTAAGAAAAACCTAATTTACTGTAATTAGAAAATCTGATTTTGGAAGTCTGGGTTTTGTAGTTTTGATTTTGGTTGTTTGTATTTTTTAACTTGTGAAACCTTTAAATGATATAGAAGAAAACCAAAAGTTAAATAGTTGACACCTATATTCCCATTACCACAGTTAAACAGTTGTTAACATTTTGCTTTATGTATTTTAGTTTTGTGTGTTCGTTCTAGAAGCAAGGCATGACATATACCTAAATGCCACCTGGGTATGGGGCCCTCCCCCTAGAGATCGGCACTTGTGAAGTTGGCGTGCGTGTTTTGGGTTCTGTGTTGTATGAATGTTTGCAGTGTTTACAATGATTTGAGCCATGTCAGTGTGTAACTTGTAACCGATAACATGTATCTATTTGTAATTTTTAATGTAACATTGTTTTAGGTTCATAAATATTGATAAATATAGTCTAGTTTATATATTTTAGCTCCATGTAGTATTTGATGATAGGAATTAGGAGGACTACTTACGTTCCTGTCCTCCCACTTTTTAATAAATACTAACTCAAGTACACTGATGAACAGTTAGGGCATGGCCGCTTCCATTACTGTGGATAGGGCTGCTACGTTTTATATGTGTCTTCTTGTACCCAGTAGGGCTGGCTCTTCTACGATAGACATCTTGAAGTGAAATTGCAGGGTCACGGGGTATCCTTCCACTGAATTGCATTTGTAATATTTCTTGCCTTGAAGGCTGCATTGAGATATTAATATAGCTATTCCAGCTTTTTTAAAGTGGTCCCCAGAAGTATTCACTTTCATACTCTTCATCAGTCAGCCCTTTACTTTTACTTTTTCTTTGGCAAAAAGTTTGTTTAAAACTTTACTTTGCTGGTTTTACATTCTCGTCTTGTTCTTTTCAAGGTGACAGAAGTATTTCTTTTTCCCCTCACTTACTACCATTTTAGACAGGATGTAAGAGGAGAGTAGAGCTATGTGTTTACATTTTATACAGAAAAGCCCTTTCACTTATTTCATAACCATTTTTATTTCTATAGATATCTCAGCAATTGAATGAGTTGAACTCATTTAATCAAGAAGCTATCATGAAATGCTTAAAAAGTAGAAAAGATGAAATTAAGCAGGCTTTGTTAGGAGAAATAGTTGATATTTCCTCTGCACAGCTACAGGATTTTGATTGGCAGCTAAAGGTGAGAATCTATGAGTGTTCTTATTTCAGTTTTTGAATAGAAAATATTTTTGATAATATTATACATGTAAAATTTCCTGTTATTTTGAGAATACAATGTCCCATAAAGATATCAAAGTTAATTAAAATTGTATCTTTTGTATTAACTGGGTAATCAGTATACTATAAATATTCAAACAGTGTTTGAATGATAAGTTTACTTAGGCTGTAAATCATAAGATGTTATAAACAGTGGAGCCATATGTATGTATTTAACAAATACTTTTGGCTAGAACTTTCTAGACTTCATAGTCTTTCCAAGATTGTTAAATACGATTCTACCTCCAGGGAAATATCTATACTGTGGGTTTGAAAATAGCATTTAAAAACTTTTTTTTTTAAGATTTTATTTATTTATCTTTAGAGGGGAAGGGAAGGAGAGAGGGAGAGAAACATCAATGTATGGTTGCCTTTCGTGCGTCCCCTGCTGGGAAGTGGCCTGCAGGGAACCGGCCTGCAACCCTGGCATGTGCCCTGACTGGGAATTGAACCGCGATTGTCTGGTTTGCAGGCCTGCTCTCAATCCACTGAGCAACACCAGCCAGGGCTAAAAACATTTTTAAAGGAGGGTCTGGTTAGTGGAGTTCATGAAGAACAGGTTTTATATCTGAGACCCATTGGCTGTATATGTACTTCCCAGCCATAAAGCACCTCTAGCTGTGGGCTTCTGTTGACTGGTTGTCTTTCTTTCCTAGCCTGAGTTTTCTTTTCCTCACTCTTTTTCTCTTCTTCAGATGTATGCTGGTTTGGCATGGGTTTAATTTTTTTATTTCTTCTACCTTTCTCTGTACTTGACAGCAAAAAGGAGTAGTTTTTTAAATGTATTGTTCATAAGCTCTGATGCATACTTACTATAGTCCTGTTGAGCATTTATTAATTACTGTTTTTCTCATTTTAAATAGCTTGCACTTTCCAGCGACAAGATTGCTACATTACAGATGCCACTTTTAAACCTTCATCTTGACGTAAAAGAAAATGGTGAAGTCAAACCATATTCTATTGAAATGAGTAAAGAAGAGCTGCAAAATCTAATAAATTCCTTGGAAGCAGCTAATAAGGTATTTGTTTTAATTTTTTGTGTGGTTTAAAATGTTTAAGTTTTGATTGATACCATTAGAGCCATGTAAGAAACACTCATAGTTTACTTTTAATATTTCTTTCCTTCCTGATATTTTATGTCAAGCACAGAAAATGCTTTGTTACGTTCTACTTCTTTAGATTTAGACATTAAATTAATTATAACTTGTAATTTTAATTACTTGTTTTGAGCATAATTTATCAAGTGTTAATTTTTGAAAGAGTAATAGTGCTGTTCTAACCGCTAGATTTGTTTTGCTCCAGTGCACATTAATGATGAAAATTAATTTTTTATCTTGAGGCTATGATTTTAGTTAATTGTAAAGTGTTTTTCTGATTAAAAAATAGAATGGTCTTGAAGAAAAGAGTATCTTATTTAACTAGACAAATAGAAAATTGCTTTAACTACAAGAGACAAAATATACCTTGAAGTTATGACAAAATCAGGTTGAGATAAGGTAGAATTAATGAATGACTGAAAAACTTTACATTTACAAAGGAGTGGCTAAATAATGGTAGCCATTACTAGTGTTTAATTAATAAGAAAAATAATATTTAAACAGTAGAAACCGCTGCTATGAGGAAGAAGCAAAAACAGTCATCTCTGTTATGTATGTTCCATTCATTGTTGCTCAGCATTTTCTCTAGTGATCGAGTCTCAATGATGTGTTTTTCTCACCAGTCTCTTGCTAACCAATCTTCTTGGCTCTGACTCTTTTAAAACCCTGGTCTTCTTTAGCTTCCCTCCGCACGCTGCAGTTGCTCAGCTGTTTTGGTGCCTCGATGACTGGTCCACATGCCCAGTCACCAGGCCGGTGCTGGCTTGCCTCTGGGTGGGGCTCAGTGTCTGATTTGTGTGGTGGAGCCTGGTGTGAATGTGAAGTGGTTCTGAACCATGGATCGTCGTCGGCATGTGCCAGAAGTTACTGAGTGGTACACTTGTTATCAGTTCTCCAGGCACTTTAGAGATCACAAAGCATTTCATTCAGTTGGTACTGGCATCATTCTGGTAGAAACTGATTCTCCCCTTTCCCCTTTGTTTTTAAGGTCATCCTGCAGTTGAAATAACTGAAAATGGTGAATACCAACATTATCAGATTATGCTGCTACAACTGATATCAGAGAGAATCCTGTGTGTTCAGAAAACCTACAATGCACTATATGTGAGGCTGAGAAAGCAGCCGTATTGAGATTACAAAGATTAAAATTGATCAACTTTCCTAAAGAACAGGAAATTACATGGTCGACAGGAAGGACATAAAAAATTAAAGATGAAAAACCATAATAGCAGTGTATATTTTCATGATGACTGTTCTGCTTCACTTATTAAATATTTGAGAAATCTTTATAGGTATAGAGTTTTATTGAAAACTAAAAATAGGCTCTAAAGTAATGTAAATATGCAAAGCACAAATAAACTTGAATCTTGCTTAAAGAAGTATGTGAATATCAAGGATGTGTATTATGGATATATATGACTAATTTGTGATATTTTTGAAAAATAACTTTTAAGGAATGTATAAGCTGCATGTGTAACTCAGGAGATCCCATATCTTACTAATATTTCACAAGAAAGATTAGGAAATGTAAAAATTCTCAGAGAAAAGCTCTTCAGACATGAATAAGAAAAAATAAATCTGTGAACAATTTTGAGTTTGTGAATTCTAGAAACAAATCTTATACTAAACCATAGGGAAAATGCAATAATAGTATATGTCATTGTATAATGTATATATTACTATTAAAATATCAGCTAAGATTATATATATATCAATTTTTGTTATAAACTCTTATGTTGAATTTAACAGTTTTGGATGTTTATTGGCAAACATCATTTTTAATTTCAGTCAAGTTTAGAGATAAGCATTCTGAACAAATAAAAAGTACACTTTTTTTTATTGCTTTCTTTCAAATAACTTTCTGTATAACTCAGTGATATGTAATTAATTGGTACCTGCTGTTTGCAAGCTTTGTAGTTCATTAGAGCATGAGACCATTATATGAAGTGTCTAGAGCGGTTGTTACTATTCTCATATAGATGAGGATGGGCTTAGAGAGGTTAGCACATACCCGAGTGTGATCCAGATGGTGCTCTCAAAATGTGCCTGTAGACCGATGCGGTCAAACAGATGGGGAGCTAGCTGGTGCTGGAATGTTCCTCAGCATACTGCTTTCTTCACTGGGAAATTGTGGTTATGGAAAACAATATTGGCCGAACTACATAGTGTGCTTACGGAGGTAGTTGATTTCTCTTCTTGGGTAAGTTCCTGATGTCATGATGGACCAGTAACAGCACTGAGTAATGCTGATACAGGGCCCTTCTGAATTTCAGCCTTCCACACAGCACTTCCTCTGAGAAGGAAAAAGTCTTCTTAGTCCCCTGTCACTGTATTAGCATATCTAAACACTTTATTGAAATCTGACTGATATACTATAAACTGCACGTATTTGAAGCTTACAATCTGATAAATTTTGATATACCCGTATGTACACCCAGGAAAATGATACCTCAGTCAAGGTGGTGAGCATATCAGTCGCTCCTGAAAATGTCTTCTTACTCCTTTGTAAATTCTGCTCCTGTGCCCGCCCCCTCTGCCCAGATAACCACTGATTTGCTTCCTGCCACAAAAAATTCTGATTTGTTCACCTTTTCAAGAGTTATTAAATGGGATCGTACAGTATGTACTGTGTTCTTTTTTGTGATTTGGCTCCTTTCAGCATTATTTTGAGTTCCTGATGTTACACAGAACAATAGTTCAATCCCTGGTATTGTTGAGAAGTTTCCTGTCATAGAATTCTACCATGGTTTGCTTACCTACCTATTAATAGATATTTTGGTTTTTTTAATTTTTGGCTAGTATGGTACACTGAATGCCACACACTTCTTGCGTCTGTATTTATATGGACATAGGCTTTCCTGTGAATAATAGGAGTGAAATGGCTGGATCATATGGTAGGTTTATGTTTATCTGTTCAAGAAGCTATTTTTCCAAAGTGATCTTATCATTTTACGTTCCATTCCACAGTCTATCAGAGTTCCACCTCCACTTCCTACCAGCACTTGCTACAGTCAGTCTTCTTTCAGCTATTCTTTTTTTTTAATTTAAAATTTTTATTTTTAAATATATTTTATTGATTATGCCATTACAGTTGTTCTATTCCCCCCTTCATTCCCCTCCATCCTGCACACCCCCTCTCCCACCATTCCCCCCTTTAGTTTATGACCACGTGTCTCAAGTTCTTTGGATTCTATATTTCCCATACTATTCTTGCCCTCCCCCCATCTATTTTCTACCTACTGTCTATGCTACTTATTTTCTGTACCTTCTCCCCTCTTCTCTTCCTTCCACTACCCTGTTGCTAACCCTCCATGTGATCTTCATTTCTGTGGTTCTGCTCCTGATCTAGCTGTCCTCTTAGTTTGCTTTTGTTTTAGGTGTGGTTGTTAATAACTGTGAGTTTGCTGTCCTTTCACTGTTCATCTTTTTTATCTTCCTTTTCTTAGATGAGTCGCTTTAACATTTCATATAATAAGGACTTGGTGATGATGAACTCCTTGAATTTGATCTTATCTGAGAAGCACTTTATCTGTCCTTCCATTCTAAATGAAAGCTTTGCTGGATAGAGCAATCTTGGTTGTAGGTCTTTGGATTTCATGACTTGGAATACTTCTTTCCAACCCTTTCTTGCCTGTAAGATCTCTTTTGAGAAATCTGCTGACAGTCTGATGGGAAATCCTTTATAGGTGACTGTCCCCTTATCTCTTGCTGCTTCTAGGATCCTCTCCTTCATTTTAATCTTGGCTAATGTAATGATGATGTGCCTTGGAATGTGTTCCTTCTTGGGTCCAACTTCTTTGGGACTCTGAGCTTCCTGGATTTCCTGGAAGTCTATTTCCTTTGCCAGATTGGAGAAGTTCTCCTTTATTATTTGTTCAAATAAAGTTTTCACTCGTGACTGTTCCTCTTCCCCTTCTGGTACCCCTATAATTCGGATGTTGGAACGTTTAAAGATGTCCTGAAGGTTCCTAAGCCTCTCCTCATTTTTTTGAATTCTTGTTTCTTCATCCTTTTCTGTTTGGTCACTTTTTCCCTCTTTCTGGGCCACTCCTTTGATTTGAGTCCCAGTTTCCTTTCCATTACTATTGGTTTTATGTGCATTTCCATTCGTTTCAATTAGTTTAGCCTTCATATGTTCCTCTAATTTGTGACTAAAATCAACCAGTTCTGTGAGCATTTTGATCACCAGTGTTTTGAACTGTGCATCTGAAAGTTTGGATATTTCTTGGTCGCTTAGATTTATTGGCTCTGGGGCTCTGAGTACTTCTTGAGCCATGTTTTTATCTGTTTGTGCCTGTTATGTATGAGGAGCAGAGCCTTAGGTGTTCACCAGGGCGGGGCCACCCAGGTGGCTGTTTTGTGACGCTGTATGTAGGGGTGGGGTCAGAGAGGGACAATGGTGGTCCTCTCTGCTGCTTCCTGCCACTGGGGCCTTGCACGGTCTGTCTCACCGCTCATTCCTTCACCAGTTTATCTGCATGCGAATGTGTGACTGTGGTCAGCCCTCAGTGAGTCCACCACCTTGCGCCCTCAGTGGGTCCACCCACTGCTACTTTACACCTGGGATCCACCCACAGCTGCCTGCACGCCAGGGTTGCGCGCCTGGATCAGTCAGGTGGATCTTTCCTGCCCGACCCCGCTCTGCTGCTGGCTCTGTCCCTCTTACAGGTTTGGCTGAAGGGTTTGTTGTTGTCAGACTTCTGTATAGTTCAGTTTTCTGCAGTTTGGCTGCATCTTTGTTGCTAAAACTTTGTTGTTTTTAAACTTGGTTGTGTGAGAAGCCACAGTGCTTCCACCTATGCCTCCATCATGGTGGAAGTGTTTCAGCTATTCTAATAGGTGTATGTGTTGTGGTATCCCCTTGTGGTTTTAATAAGGACTAACGATACTGAGCATCTTTTCAGGTGCTTGCTTGCCATCTGTGTATCTTTGGTGGACTGTCTGTTTAGATCTGTTGTCTACGATTAAATTAGATTGTTTTCTTACTGAGTTTTGGACATCTTTATGTAACCTGGATACATTCATTGTCATATGTATGTCTTGTATTTTTCCCCAATCTGTAGTTTGTCTTTTTCTGTGAATAGACTATATTTTTTAGAGCAGTTTTAGATTTACAGAAGTACTGAGTGCACAGTACAGAGAGAGCCTGTATACTACATGTGCAGTTTCCCAGATTACTCATGTCTTATATTAGTGTGGTACCAGTATTACAATTAATGCCTTATTATCAACACATTGTTCTAAATTTCACAGTTTATTCAGACTTCCTAAGTTTTTACCTAATGTCCTTTTTCTGTTCCAGAATTCCATATCATACTTAGTGGTCAGGTCTCCTTAAGCTGCCTTTGCTGTGGTAGTTTCCCATGCTTCCCTTGTTGTTAATGACCTTGGCAGTTTTGGGGAGTGTGGGGGAGATTTTTTTTAAGATGCTCCTCTATTGGAATGTAATGTTTTCCTCATGTTGAGATTGGGATCATGGGTTTTGGGGAGGAAGGTCACAAAGGTAAAGTGCCAGTTATATTACCTCCTGTCAAGGGTCCATACTATTAATGGGATTTATGATGACGTTGACTTTAATCACTTGGTGGACGTAGTGTCTGATAGGTTTTCTCACTGTAAAGTTATCTCATATTCTCCTTTTTCTACACTGTCTCTTTGGAAGGAAGTCTCTCTGTGTGCCTATGTGTAAGGAATGGAAGTTGTGCTCCCCCCTTGAAGCCAGAGTATCTACATTATAAATCTGGAATTCTGCGCAGATTTGTCTCCTTTTTCCTAGTTATTAATTTATTTAATCATTTATTTGTATAGTGTGGACTCATGGATATTTTATACTTTAGGTTATAATCCAGTAGTAATTTTATTACTCAATATTGTTTTACCTTGGATTGTTGAGAGCTCTCTCAGTTGGTTTCTCTGTCCCTTTGACATGGTGCTGTCAATGGGGAGTGGGTTTTATTTATTTACTTTTGTATCATTTCCTTAAAATTTTGGCCATACAAGATGCTTCAAGCTCATTTTGTTTATTTTCTGTCCAGTCCGAGAATCGACCATTTCTCCAAGATACCCTGGTTCATTTCGCTGAAGAATGGGATTAGATGCCAAGCTCAGCGTGCTCACTGCTATTGTTTGGGACGTTGTTTTTCTTAGGCCCTCTCAGCTGACAGAATCAAAATTGTATGCGTAAACTACCCTGTGTGCATACATATCTGTAAATACTTGTTTATATAACCACCTACATATTAAACTACACGTGAGTTCATCCCGATGTCTCCGGCTCAACGCCATTGCCGCACAATCATTCCAGTCTGCTCTCCTGTTATCTGTAAATTTGCGTTGCAGCAGTGAGAAACCTCACTCCCAGCACCCACCCCCCATTTTCTCAGTCTTTCCATTGCAGTACATGTGCAGCAGCATCTGAGTTGTGACTGTACCCCATGGGACTGACAACTGTCCTTCTAGGGAGGATTTATGTGCATTTCCCTTTCCTTTCACTTTTACAGACTGCACTCATTTTCAAAGTTACTTAGCACCTTTTCCCTGCACTCCCTTCAGTGAGGTGGTTTTATGTATTTGTAATGCAGTTTGGGTTTTTTTGCCACAGTATGTACTCCTTGCTGGGCTGCCCTTTTAAGTGATTTTTAAATTTGTGCACATTAAGCTTCACTGTGTGGAACACAGTGAGTCTGACAGATGCCTAATGCCCTGTACCCACTGTGTGGAATAGTTCAATACTTGAAAAGTCCCCTGTACTTTACCTGTTCATCTCTTGACAGCTTCCTCTGAACCCCAGACCACCAGTGATTTTTAAAAAATGTCTAAATAGCTTTGCCTTTTCCAGAATGTCATATAATTGGGATCCTACAGTCTGTAGTTTTTTTAACTGGCTTCTTGCACTTAGCAATATGCGTTTAAGTTTTTTTCTTTTTTTTTTGTAGCCTGGTAACTCATTTACTTTTTATTTCTGAGTAAAATTTTATTGTGCAGATGTCCCACAGTTCATGTGTCCATTCACGTATTGAAGGACATCAGTTGTCACTTCATGTCAATTATGAATAAAGCTGCCGTGAACACTCACTGGCAGGGTTCATGTGGACACGTTTTCAAATCAACCGAGTAACACTTAGCAGTGTGGTTGCTGGATCACACTGCATAGTAAGTTTAGCTTTGTAAGAAATGGCCGAACTTTTTGGAAGTCGCTGTCCCACTTTGCATTTCTTTTTTTTAATTGTGGCAAAGCCTCTCCTGGAACACCTGACATGAACTCTGCTCTCTTAATAAACCTTTTCGTATTCAGTACAGTATTAACTATGCACACTGTTGCACAGCAGATGTCCTGGACTTTCTCGTCTTGTGTCACTGGAAGTCCGTACTTCGCACAGCAGCTCTTCGGTTCCCAGTCCCATGCCACCAACACTCACCATTCTGCTCTGCTCCAGGAGTTTAGCTACTTGTCAGCGGAATCATGCGGTATTTTTCCATCTGTAACTGGCTTATTCCACTTACCGTGATGTCCTCAAGGGCCATTTGTGGTTTACCGCAGTGATTTTCGTTCCGTGTACTGTAAGAGGCACGCTGGCCTGCTGCGAGGGTTTTTAAAGCATTCAATTCCTGACCAGTCAGGG